AGGGCCTTGGGCCCAAGTTAACCTCACCTTTTCAAGCCCTCAAAGAACATTGTGGACACCAGTCCCTTCATGAGTCTGCTTTACATTTTAAGACCCATGGTGCTCAGCACCGCTCAGTCTTCTATCGATGGCCCAAAAAACACGCGAATAACGAAATTGTTAAATGTGAATTTGGGTTCCTTAATTTTGGACTTTTGTATAGTTTTAATCTCTCAATTTTTTATATACTTTTTTAGTCTCTTAACTATAAAAAATATATTTTTGTCTTTCTGTCAATTAATCTATTAAGTATATTAATATGTGCACATTTTTAATCATTAAACTTTTCAATTGAGGAACTAAAATTATATAAAATCCTAAAGTTGAGGAATAAAAAATATGTAAATATAGATAAATTTAACAAATTAATTAACAAAAAAATTAAAAAAATATATTTTTTATAGTTAAAAGACTAAAAAAATATATAAAAAATAAAGGGACCAAAACTATTTAAAACCTTAAATTTAAGGAACCAAAACTGGTATCACCCTTTCCTTACCACATGGTTATGTAGAAACTGATTAGTAGTTTCGGTCAATGTTGTTAAAATCAATATTTTACTTAAAATTGTTTTGGTAAATCAAAATCACATAATTAAATTGGTAAAATCAAGAGTTTATTAAATTTCATAAATATATAATAAAAATTTATATTTTTATATTAATGTAACTAAAATTCAACAATAAAAAATTAAACATGAGATTAAAGTTTACAATAACTCTAATAAAACTAAATTTTAATATTATAATATAAAAAATTAAAAATAAAAAAATTTAAAAAAAATTGTTTAAATTAAATCACACTTACCTTCTTTATCCAAAAATTTTAATATATATATATATATAAACAAACCCCCAATCCCATTATCTCATACATGTCAACATAATCCTCACTAAAATTGATATCCCTCCATCCCTTCACCAGTTCACCTTGTTTTCTCCACTGCCATTTTCCCACTGTTGACGACCACTTGAGATTTTTTTTCAAAATAAATTGAAAAATTAAGTGTGAAAATATATAAGAAAAAGGGAGTCGCCACTCGTCCAAATTATAAGGTGGGACAAGTCACCTAAAACAAGTCTGCACAGAGATCGGGACTCGGGGGTTCAGTTAGGAGTGAGGAAAGGCATACGCGCACCTCACAATCCTCCGTTTAAATACGGTTGCATACTTTAAAATTGGGGTTTGATTCAACTTACTCGTTGTGTTTATGTTTGAGTCTTAATAGGTAAGTTTGAAAGAAGGGTAAACCGAATCAAAACATTTTTTTATTTTTGGACTGAAATAGACAAAATCAAGAACATGCATGCACAATAAACACAAATAAAAATTAAAGGGACTAATTTGACTAAATTCGAAACATGAAGGACTGATTTGGAAAGAGTT